GATACTTGCAACATCTATCTACCTGTAATGATCAGTGAATTATGAATGCAACGAAATTATCTTAAGACTACCTATTAGGCCTTAACCCAGTCAGACTTTGAGGTAACAACAATTTTCAACATAATGGGTCATTTCCGCTTATCTAGTTGTTTGGAGTTTGTTTAACATGAAAGTAGTTCCCTTGGTGAGTCACAATTTTCTTTTATTTTCTCATTCGTAACTAATTACGGAATTGTCATAAAGTTTTTCTGATTTTGCTTCATGCTGCAACTTTATTTTTCTGTTTACTCTGTAACACTTCATTTTTGGTAATCCTACATGACCATCTCATTTTGAGCACCCTGAAATAGCGATGGTTAATAATAGTAATTATGATCTTCACATACACACACTATACATACTTGTGCCTGACACTCTACACAATACAGAGTTCCACAATGATTTTTGAAAAAGCATCTCTGACATCGACAATGCAACAATTGCACTTGCCATACAATGTTTCTTATCCACGGAGGAACCATCTCATAAAGTCTGAGAGAATGAATCACACCTGAAAATGATGCGATAAGTATACAATATGGACATGCAATGATCTGTTTAGGTTGAACTTACCTACCTTCATCAAGAGAACAGCTTCCTTGCAAGCTTCTGGACCTATATACATACAAATATAATATTATAATATATTATATCCATGTGCACTAATTTTCCTAGCCCAACAATTTTTTTAAGGTACCACAGGTTGTGGAATTTGTTCAGTCTGGCGAAGTACTATTGACTGATCGATATTATTTGCGAGGGACGACTGACAATACGAGCCTTAGGTCCTGGCGCCCTAGGCGGACGCCTAATCTACTTATAAGGTAGAATCTGATCTATCTTGTATCTTCTTTAATTTTATATGAACTAACAGCTTAGTGTTGTCGACATTCTACTTACGATCCTCCTCCGCTACCGTAGCAAAGGAGGACTTCTCTAATGGCATATTCATCATTTGTTAACCCATATATACCTAATGACCTATATGTAGTACGGCCGAAACTGCTCGACTCAATCCGACAGTAACACGAATCATCATTATATATACGTTCACATATCGTCAGTTGACACCTAACGTCCAAAGTCTGATGCCGTCTTGTACTCGGCAGAGTTTCTTTGCGGTTTGAATTGACGCGTTACGACAAGTTATTTACGAAATGGCGGAATATGAGATTCGCTTTGTCAAGTAAGTATGTTTTGAAAATAATAATTTGCCTATTTAGCATTGCCACTTAAGGAATAGGGATTGGTTATATTAATACTATAATTTGTACATAAAGTAATTATTAAAATGGTTTTTGTTTTTATTTCATACGCCCTCAAAGTTTTGCGTCCTATATTTAGGACAATAGGAAAATAGCTATCATTTTGTATCTACAATTTAGACCTTATTCATATTATCCATGTTTTTAGGGGCTTTTCATTACACGAAGCCTTGGCCATGATTGAGGATGACGAAATTGAAGCGGATTCAATTATTTTACTACCTCCAACCAATGCTTGCGGGAACGTAACTGATGCAGATTCCGGAGATGAAGATCAACTGTTGACATAGATGTAAGAAAATAACAAAGTGGAGTTCCGATGACGATTTACCTCTTAGCGAAATAAGAAGAAAAGTTGAGGGAATTGCCAAAAAAGAAATAAAAGAAAAAGCAGTATAACTACATAAAAGAAGACCTTCCGTTAGACGAATATGTATTCCCAAAAGATAACAATAATTTCTTAGGAGAAGAGACAGCTCCGAGCGATATGTTTTTTAAATTTTTTGTTGACGATATTTTGAATAAAATCGTTGAAGAAACAAATAGATATTCCCAACAAAAAAATAGTACAACAGAAGTTACTATGCCTCAGATAAAACCGTTTCTTGGTATACTAATCTTAAGTGGTTATTCTAGTGTTTCAAGGAGAAGAATATATTGAGAAGACTCCAAAGATACTCATAACACACTTGTAGCTGAATCCTTGTCAAGAGACAAATTTGAATACATAATGACCCATATTCATTTTGCAGATAATCTTATGTTAGATGAAAGCGATAAGTTTGACACTTTTTGACCATTTGAATAGAAAGCTTCTAGAAAACGCTACACCATAGGAGCATCACAGTGTTGACGAGACCATGATCCCTTATAAAGGTCGACACGGGTGAAAACAATACATATACTAAGTGACATATAAATCCGAACACCCAGTTTAAATGGTTTTATTTTAATAAAAGTTGGTGAATGTATTTTATCTTACTGTAAATAACAAGTGAAAAAATTTTCACCCTTATCAGTTGGACATTCCGGTGTTTATACTGCTTTTTTTTAATTCACTAACGCTCTAAAAATGAATATTTCAGCCACAGTAAAGAATCAACGTTGGCGGATTTTGGTTCTTGACATCCTTTACGATCGGTTACGATGCCTAGAGTACGGAGACCTGTACGATTTCGTCAACTTAGTGAGTTTGATAGGGGCCGTATAGTGGGACTTCGGGAAGCTGGACTTTCTTTTCGGGCAATTGCAGTTAGAGTGCAAAGAAGTGTAGACACTGTGGTTAGGTGTTGTCAGGCATGGCTTCGAGAAGGCCGTACGCAAAGAGCAAAGGGCACTGGACGCCGCCGTAGAACAACAGACCGTGAAGATCGCCGCCCAAGATTATTGGCCTTAAGGGACCGTTTCTCCACTACCAGGTCCATTGTAAATGAATGGTTTGCAGAACACGGAAGACCTATTGGCATGCGAAGTGTTTACCGACGAATGAGAAGTTTTGACTTGTTTTCATACCGGGAACACTGGGTCCTCCCTTTAACTCGAGAACACTGCCGTAATCGCCTTGAGTGGTACAGACAACGGTCACTCTGGGATCAGGAATGCAACAGTATTGTCTTTAGTGACGAGTCTCGATTTTGTTTAGGCATGCACGATGGTCGTGCTAGGGTTAGAAGGCGACGTGGTGAAAGGAGGAATCCACAGTTTTTTGTTGAAAGACATGTTCATCACACTGTTGGAGTTATGGTTTGGGGTGCTACAGCTTATGGTTCCAGGTCACCTTTAATCTTCATCAGAGATAACATGAACGCGCAGCGTTATATCCACGAAGTTCTAGAACCCCATCTTTTACCCTATCTTGACACCCTGGCAGATCCAACTTTCCAACAAGATAATGACTTCTTTCAACATAATGATGTCACATTGTTACCATGGTCACCAAGATCTCCCGACTTATCCCCAATAGAGCACGTGTGGGATATGATGGGTAGGAGATTGCTTAATTTGCAACGTCCTCCTCAGACTCTAGAAGCACTTCGAGACGAGTTGGTGGTTGCCTGGAATGAGATACCACAGGAGGACATTGACCACCTGATCAGAAGCATGCCTAGGCGCGTTGGAGAATGCGTAGCACATCAGGGTGCATCCACACATTATTAAAGGTCAAAGGGCTTTAAAGCAGTGCAATCATTTTGAAATTTTTATCATTTACTTATTATGCTTCATTAAGTACTTATACAAAATTTTATTAAAATAAAACCATTTAAACTGGGTGTTCGGATTTATATGTCACTTAGTATACATAGAAAACCAATTAGATATGGCTTTAAATTTTGGGTTGACGCTACTCGCCTCGGTTACATAAATTGGTTCGAACCTTATCAAGGTACCTCAACCTATGTAAGTGAGCTGTACAAACCACTAGGTGTTGGGGCGTCGGTCGTATTGACTTACGGCGACAAACTAAAAGACAGATTTCCAGGGCTGAGATTTCATTTATTTTTTGATAATTTTTTCTCATCTCCGATTTTATTCGAAACTTTACATGAGAAAAGCCTAAGTCGTACTGGCACTATCCGTGAGAATCGCGTACCAAATTTGACTATCAAAGATACAAAATTGTTAAAGAAGGAACACCGTGGTGCATTTGATTTTGCTAAAATGAAAGACAAAAATATAATTTTTATAAAATGGAATGATAACAACATTGTTACTTTTGGATCCACGGTAAGTGGAATTGCACCAGCAAATTTGGTCAAACGCTATTCGCAAAAAGAGAAGAAGTTCGTTTATATAGATCAGCCCCAAGTTGTCCGCCAGTACAATCAAAACATGGGTGGCATAGATAGATCGAACCAAAACAATGCACAATACCGAGTGAATATACGAGGAAAAAAATGGTATTTCTCATTGATATCTCATTGTGTTGATATGGCAGTGACTAATGCTTGGAAGATATACACGAGAGAGGGCAATTCTATGGCTCAATTATCTGTTAGGAGAACCGTCGCCGTGACCATTCTGGAAAAAAATTGAAAAAAATTGACATACCAGAAAGGAAGACAACGTAATTTAGCTGACCTAAGATATGATCGCATGGATCATTTAGTTGTTTCCAAAGATAAGCTAACACGATGTGCGCAGTGCCATAATAAAACAACAACAAGGTGTAGAAAATGTAATGTTGGAATACATGTTAAATGTTTTGTAGATTATCGTACTTTATAATTGTGTCGAATGTTATAGCTACTTATGTTCCTATTGTCCTATAATTAGTATACTATGTAAAACCAAAAATTAAACGAAATTTGAGTTAACTAATAAGATATACATGTATGTATGATTAGTGTGTCCTACTTTAACAACATTTTCGAAAAAAAAAGTATAGAAAAAATTCAAGATGGGTCTTTAGGCATATATAAGTTAATCTGCCATGTCGTGTTATCATTTTTTTGAAAAAGGTGTACAGTACGCTAAGTATCAATAAGTTATTGATTAATGCAACAGTATGTTAGGGGTGTCAGTTTTGGTACAAACATGTTTGTTTAAATTGTTGCATTTTTTGTGAGGTTATCAGAAAAAATGGACGCAGTTAAGCTGACTTGGTACTTAATACGTTGATATTGAATCGAGGGACGTACAAATGTCCTATTGAGTGAGTGTATCAGAAAGTTTAAAGGAGGTATACTCCAAAAGCAGATAGAGACATAAAAGAGAAACTGTACGACCTCAGCCAAAAACACATCACAGTAGATTTTTTTGGACCCACGCATGCTGAAATTGGTGGCTGCCGTATCCTGTACTATGGGACAATCACCGCATACCCACACCAAGAACCACATCAAGAATTACATCTGAGCACTATGGTAAAATCGATGGAACCAGGAGACGGCAGCAAAATAAAACCAGATGTCAGGACCGTACTTGCGCCCCCACACAACAGAAGGAAACAGATGGTCATCTCTCGCCTGAGAATCGGACACACAGCTACCTTTTCACAAGACTAGACAAACCACAGTGCCAGCAGAAGATCAAGGCCCACAGAACATACTTACAAAACCCCACTGTAGAGAACAGACAAGCCGACGTCGAGTCCAGAAACAAATATAATGAAGCGGTTCGCAATGCCAAAAACCAGCATGATATAAAAGTTAGGCACAGGGTAATGTCGCAGCGCAATGGCAGTCGGTCTTTCTGGACGCTGGCCAAGCAGATTGAAAAGAACTTCTCACACAGTAGCCTTCCACCACTTACGTGTCAGGATGGAACTATTGTATTCGACTCAAAGGCCAAGGCAGAAGTGCTAGCCAAGATCTTTGCTGCCAACTCCACCATGGACGTCCCCACCAACGCCCAAGTGCCGTCAATTCAAAGGGTTCCCCACACTATGCGGGAGGTAACATTCAGGCATAAGACCGTAAGACGAGTGCTCTTGTCGCTCGACATCAACAAAGCTTCTGGTCCGGACTTGATTCCTGCCATTGTACTGAAGAGATGTGCAGCGGAGCTTGCTCCAGTTCTTTCGCGTCTCTTCCAGATATCTTATGAATCCGGCACCTTCCCAGAAAACTGGAAATTTGCTCATATACAGCCCATCCCAAAAAAAGGATCTAAAACCGACCCTTACAACTACAGGCCTATAGCTCTGCTTTCTGTTATAAGTAAAGTGATGGAGAGGTGCATAAATCGCGAGCTTCTGGACTACCTCGAACGTCACAGCTTGATTAGCGACAGGCAGTACGGTTTCCGGCACCAACGATCCACAGGGGACCTCCTAGCTTACGTCACGCAACTGTGGAGTAAACTCATCCAGTCTCATGGTGAGGCTCATGTCGTTGCTCTTGACATCACGAAAGCGTTCGATCAGCTGTGGCACGCTGCCCTCTTAAGCAAACTTCCATCCTACGGCCTCCCAGAAAAGCTTTGCAGATGGGTGGCTGACTTTATCTCTGGCCGCAAGATATCCGTCGTAATTGACGGATTCTCCTCTTCATCCCACAACGTCAACGCCGGTGTTCCCCAGGGATCGGTCTTGGCTCCAACACTGTTTCTCTTACATATCAACGACCTTCTTTCCTGCACGATCAACCCAATCCACAGCTTCGCTGATGACAGCACTCTACATGCAGGAATTCAGAGTGACAAGCCGATCTCTGCCGCTGAGCTGGAAAAAAGAAGACTAGCGACGACCTCTTCTCTGACAAGAGACCTGGAGGCTATCACTGCTTGGGGACGCAACAATCTTGTACAGTTCAATGCTTCCAAAACACAGTACTGTACTTTGACGAACAAAAAGCGTCCTAGCGCTCATACAGTTTCGATGGACGGTCGAGTTCTACCAAAGAGCCATTCATTTCGGCTGGTCGGAGTCCAGATCACCGAGGACCTGATCTGGCACGAACACATCTCTTCAATAGCTGCAGCTGCTGGGAAAAAGCTAGGCTATTTGTTTAGGGCTAAGAAGTACTTTTCTCCGCATGACCTTCTCACTCTCTACAAGGCCCAGATAAGGCCTAGCCTCGAGTATTGCTCACACATTTGGGGTGCTGCCGCCCCGACTACATTGTCCATGCTCGATGCTGTCCAGAGGAGGGCGGTCCGACTGATCGATGACTCTTCCCTAACAGACAGTCTCGGGACTCTTTCGCACCGGCGGGCCGTCGGCGATCTAGCTCTTTTCTATCGCTACACCAACGGGCTTTGCTCCTCAGAGCTCTCTTCCATGATGCCGCCGCGCGATGTGCCTGCCAGACAGACCCGCCTGACTTCGGCGTCCCATCCTAACCGTGTCAAACTTCGTACATCCAGAACTGGCCGATACGACCGCTCCTTTGTCCCGAGGGTGTCTAGATTGTGGAACAATCTACGGGAGGAAGCTTTTCCCAGTTCTACTAACCTTAGGCAGTTCAAAAATCGTATTAACAAAATTTCTTTGGGATCACCATAGCAGCCGCGGTGTTCCGGCATTTAGGCTTCTGCCTGCGCGGCTGTTTCGATATAAAAAAAAAAAAAAAAATCACCTGCAACACAGCCCTAACTGTGAAACATATTCTTGAGAAGTGTCGCGAGTTCCCAGTGCAGTTCTTCATGACGTATCGACACTAGACCTCAAAAGTACGCTCACTGGGAACCTCAATAACACCATTCAGATCCTTAAAGAAATCAAATACTATTCCTTAGTTCAAGATTGTTCTATATTACAATGTAACCTAGTTAATCCATACCATCGTTCACCGCTAATAATCCTCTGGGTGGCTGATGCGGAATTTTAATAAAAAAAATGTTCTATTGCCTGCCCCTTTACTATTCGTCTATTTAAAATTTGATTATTTCCACCGAAGTTGAAATTCGTTCGCGGAATTTTTATTTAATCCTCATCTTCAGCTTGAATCTCAAGTAGCGTTTGTGTAATTTTCGCCATAGCTAATACAGATAGAACATTTTATTTCTATTTTTATGAACCCGCAAATTCCACCGCATCTCTTGCTGCAGCTGCTGGAAATAGTGTTTCATAAAACAGTAGGAACAAATTATTTCTTTAATCCTTGGATACTTTTCACCCGACCTCTCAAGAATCCTTCAGCATCATTAACCATTCTGAATTGTTGGTGTATTCACAAAATATACTAAGTGACATATAAATCCGAACACCCATTTATATAAGTACTTAATGAAGCATAATAAGTAAATGATAAAAATTTCAAAATGATTGCACTGCTTTGAAGCCCTTTGACCTTTAATAATGTGTGGATGCACCCTGATGTGCTACGCATTCTCCAACGCGCCTAGGCATGCTTCTGATCAAGTGGTCAATGTCCTCCTGTGGTATCTCATTCCAGGCAACCACCAACTCCTCCCGAAGTGCTTCTAGAGTCTGAGGAGGACGTTGCAAATTTGCTCAATTGAGCAATCTCCTACCCATCATATCCCATACGTGCTCGATTGGGGTTAAGTCGGGAGATCTTGGTGGCCATGGTAACAATGTGACATTATTATGTTGAAAGAAGTCCATTGTGACTCTTGCAACATGTGGTCAGGCATTATCTTGTTGGAAAGTTGGATCTGCCAGGGTGTCAAGATAGGGCAAAAGATGGGATTCTAGAACTTCGTGGATATAACGCTGCGCATTCATGTTACCTCTGATGAAGATTAAAGGTAACCTGGAAACATAAGCTATAGCACCCCAAACCATAACTCCAACAGTGTGATGAACATGTCTTTCAACAAAAAACTGTGGATTCCTCTTTTCACCACGTCGCCTTCTAACCCTGGCATGACCATCGTGCATGCCTAAACAAAATCTAGACTCGTCACTAAAGACAATACTGTTCCATTCCTGATCCCAGAGTGACCGTTGTCTGCACCACTCAGGGCAATTACGTCGGTGTTCTCGAGTTAAAGAGAGGACCCAGTGTGGCCGGTATGAAAACAAGCCAAAACTTCTCATTCGTCGGTAAACACTTCGCATGCCAATAGGTCTTCCGTGTTCTGCAAACCATTCATTTGCAATGGACCTGGTAGTGGAGAAACGGTCCCTTAAGGCCAATAATCTTAGGCGGCGATCTTCACGGTCTGTTGTTCTACGGCGGCGTCCAGTGCCCCTTGCTCTTTGCGTACGGCCTTCTCGAAGCCATGCCTGACAACACCTAACCACAGTGTCTACACTTCTTTGCACTCTAACTGCAATTGCCCGAAAAGAAAGTCCAGCTTCCCGAAGTTCCACTATACGGCCCCTATCAAACTCACTAAGTTGACGAAATCGTACAGGTCTCCGTACTCTAGGCATCGTAACCGATCGTAAAGGATGTCAAGAACCAAAATCCGCCAACGTTGATTCTTTACTGCGGCTGAAATATTCATTTTTAGAGCATTAGTGAATTAAAAAAAGCAGTATAAAAACCTGAATGTCCAACTGATAAGACTGAAAATTTTTTCACTTGTTATTTACAGTAAGATAAGTACATTCACCAACTTTTATTAAAATAAAACCATTTAAACTGGGTGTTGGGATTTATATGTCACTTAGTATACATAGTAGCAATGTGTCTCAAATAGATGTACAGCGAAGCGCCATATACATGGTGTTACCTGAGTGAAAAGTTTAACGGCGGATTCAGCATGTACACATATGAAAGAAAAAATCATATAAACATGCTTGGAAAGTATGAATAGAAAAATATCAGTCCGGTTATTATCGTTTTATAACGATAAACAGATTTCTTTATTGGCTAATAAAATAGTTTCTTCTTATGTGTCCGAGAGAAAAATTTGAAGAAGCAATTTCAATTGTGTACCTGATAGTATGAGAGGTAATAGAAAAATATGCATGCACTAGTAATATAGTTATCGTTCGTTCAACCACAGGCGGCCAACCATAGACAGTTGTTTCATGCTATTTAGTAGCTCCTCAGCATGGTCTAGGCTTGGTCTAATGTAGGACAACGAACAAAAGCTGAGCAACTATCCTCCATCCAGAGTATTGTTACGGGTTTAATTTGAAATCATGCTCTTGCCTCAGAATTCAAGATTTATTAGCTGAAAATTGTACACTGTGAGCGGTTACCAAGACTAGATTCACAATCTTAAGTCCTAGGTGCTATCGTGGTCCGTGGGATCAGCCCTAAACTTTGTCCAAACGTTGTAGGAACTGCCGTGACCCTGCAATAATCGTAAACACTAAACAAGGGTAGACATATTTCTAGTTTAACTACCTGAAGATTTTCTCTATGGTTTATACGTAACTCTCCGTATCTCATTTTGTAGTTGAGGCCCCTTCATCTGAGAATTGTTTACGTCTTCCTTTCTTTCCTAACCTCAATGTTACATTTTGACAAGTGTTCGGTCCTTTCAGTCCGGGAACAGTCCGCTGTTGTTGCATTGCTCCATTGCTCCTCTCGAAGTTTGCGTTCCGTGTCCAAGTTGAAGAAACTTCACTTTTTGGTCGTAGCTCTGTTGA